ATCTCTTTTAATTTCCTCCATGAGAGAGATGGTGCAGAAATGAGTGGAAAGTGATCCCAGTCGCCAGGGCTTCCCATGGACACACCTTCCCCTTTCTTCTTCTTCATGTAGCTCCTTTCACAATCACCCAGGTCAGGTGCTCTCCTCTGCCCCAGAGCCATCAGCCATTAAGTCCTGCCTACCAATCTGCCCCCTCCATGACTTCTTCTCTTCTCTAACCATCATTGCCCCAATCAAGTCCCCAGTATCTTTTTTCTGACTCAATCAGGTATCCCTACTTCCATCAGCTTTTGATTTGATCTTGTTGTTCCGTTGCTTTCAACTCTGTGATGTCTACCTACTCCCCATTAACCTACGCAGTGGTTTTCAAAATGTGTCTGGAGGAACCCCAGCTTAATGGGTCTTGTTGAGGTTTTAATTAGCCCAGTAAAAAAATTCTGCTGAGTTTTAAACAAATTGAGAGACACAGGATTCCAACAGATGGAAATGAAAATATCACGTTTATTACTGAGAAACAATATTGGGGACATGGCTTAGCTCTGGCCAAGTAGCATGAAAACACTTCCCTGAATTAAACCACACACAGTACAAACATTCCTCCTTCTTGAGACATGATTGTTCCTTGAGAGGAGGGTTTTCAGATCTGGATAAAGGAGAGTGAATTTATGTGCAAACCCAGGAGTTAGACTCTTATAGAAGTTGTCAGGCAGCATTTCCCCAAGTGTGTTCCATGGAACAATAACCTTGAAAAGAGATGAACTTGAACAAAAGTTTTCCATGGTCAAATGCCGTTAGAGAAAACTACACAATGTTCACCCTTGAGAATTGTAATGCACCCATGAGCATGTTAGAAGCTCACTGGTCTGCAGTAAGGAATGACTTTGCTTATCAGAGGTTAGCCCATTGTTTCCCAAAATTGACTTAAAAAAAAAGTTGGGAGTGGTAAGTCTCTTTATATTTCCATGTGATAGAAACTCCGTAAGAGGAAGGGGAGGAAGGGCTTGAGTTTAACTCCCTCCCCCTGTCTTCAATTTGGTTTTTCCTAAGTGAACCTTTGTTGTTCAGTTTTGTTGCTTCTGATAGATTGTGGCTCTAAAGTGTCCTCTGAAATTTTGCTGTTTTGATATTAGAATGAGCACTTAGAAAGGTTTTAATAAAAAAGTTTAGGACTCAAGTAGAGAATAATAAGAGAATTATTGATTTCCCGAACTAAGTGCAATTTATTCAAGGTTTATGTGTGACCTCTGAACTCTAATGCAAAGGCAAAGCCATTTGTAGTGGCTTTGTGGTTAAAAGTATTATGAAGTCCTTTGAATGATCCTTGGCACAGTTGAGACATGTGGAATAGTTTCAAAGCAGAAGATTTCTAACCTTCATATTATTGTACATTGGAAGTATGTGTCAGGTTTTTATTTTATTTTATTAGAATACATGAATAGAGTAGTAAATGCTGTGTTGGGAAATTTCCTTGGCCAAAGACCATTTGGCTTCTCTTCCTTAGGAAAGGGATCCACCCCCAATCCCAATCCCAGAGATCTTTGAGGTAGCTGAAGAACATTGAAAAAGAAAGTTCTGCCCAGCTAAGCAATTTTGTGGAAAGGACTGTACACTCCTCAGTCTAGAGTCTTAATTACTCTCGCTCAGATGAGAATGACTATAAAAGGTATGTGGTCTAAATGTTCTTAGCCAGCTCTTGAATTGTCTTCAGTCCAAAGACGTTCTGACCTGAGCCAGGAAGTAAGGCAGTGAGGGTAAAAACATCTGAAACTCATGAACACTTTCAACCTATTGATCTAAAGCTATCAGAGGATGTAATGAGCCCAAGTGTGGTTTGAGGAAAAGCAGCTTAAGCATAAATGAGGACAGAATTTGCTAGGGGTTGGATGAGTATCTAGGTCAATTTCTCTAGAGCTCTAAGGAAAGAGAGGTTTTGACAACATTAGCTTATCTGACGGATGCATTCAGGTCCTCAAATGGATTTCTTTTAAATATGTATGTATAAAGTCTGACACGGCTCTTAATAAGTCAAACCCTTTCAATGAATCCAGGAATCGTCAAAGCTCCTCTTCAGTTTGTATAAAGCACATACTCACAGATGTGCTTTCCAGGGTTAATGGTCATAAAATTCTAGTCACTCTTCTACCCACAGTTTACATTGACCAAGTGAGTCGAAATCATTCATTCAACACACTTGGAATTCCTGGTCCTGGAGTGATAAGGACAGATAAGATATTGTCCCTGCCTTCAAGAAGCACAGTCTAATTGGAATGATAGGCATATTGGCAAATTTAAACACCCTTTGGAGTGACAGAGTCAAGGATAAAAGTATGTGCTAAGAACAACGAGGTATAAGGAAAGGGTGTCACAGTGCCGGGGAGGGAGGATAAAGAGTCCTGTAAGAAGAAAGGGGCAGTCTGGCAAGAAGGCAAGGGAACTTTATTATAAAAGAACTGCTTATGCAAAGGCTCCGAGGTCTTAAGAGTCCAGAAATAAACTCTCACATTCATGGTCAACTGATTTTTGAAAAGGGTACAAGACAATTCAATGAGGGAAAGAATAATCTTTTCACCAAATGGTCTGGGACAACTGGCTAACTATATGAAAATGTATGAAGTTGAACTCCTATCTCACATCATACACAAAATTAATTCAAAATGGATTAGACCGACATGTAAAAACATAGGTGTGACTTTGGATTAGGCAATGGTTCCTAAGATATAACACCAAAAGCAAGCAGAGAAAAACTAGATAAATTTGACTTCACCAAAATTTTAAAACTTTGTACTTCAAAGGACACTATAAAGATAGTGAAAAGACAATTCACAGAATGGAGAAAATATTTGCAAATTATACATCTGAGAATGGGCTAGATTCCAGAAATATAGAGAACTCTTAAAAATTAATAAAAACTTTACTAAACGCCTACTGTTGACAAGAAGCCTTACCAATAACATAAACAGTCAATTAACAATTTTGAATATTATATGTATAATATACTGCATTCTTACAATGAAGTAAGCTAGAGAAAAGAAAATGTTATTAAGAAAATCTTAAAGAAGAAAAAATATATTTACATTACTATACACAATTATTGAAAACAATCTATATACATATATGTGGACCATGCTATTCAAGGGTTAACTGTACTCAGGACCCTATTGGCACTTTTCCAACTTGTAGCACTAACCTCATAAAGTTCTAAAGTAAGCTGAAGTAAGTCAATATTTTGTAATTAGAGGAAATAAGTACTTCAAAATTCAGTGGTCAGATTTTTACCCAATAGGAAAGGGTAGTCAGAAAGTGTTGCTTTTCTACATCTTATAACCTAACCCAGTGGTCGGCAAACTGCGGCTCTTGAGCCACATGTGGCTCTTTGGCCTCTTAAATGTGGCTCTTCCACAAAATACCATGTGTGGGCACGCACGTACAATGCGATTGAAACTTCGTGGTCCATGCGCAGAAGTCAGTTTTCAGCCCTCAAAAGAAATTTCAATCATTGTACTGTTGATATTTGGCTCCCTTGACTAATGAGCTTGCCAACCACTGACATAACCTAACATTTGAATACATGCTTATTAGCTATTTGCAGTGTTACTAAGACTTGTCTTTTGGGGAAACCTGAAGGGTAAGCAGAAGAAAGATGCTAAGCCAGGGTCTTTCTGAATGTCTGCTAATGTTGATTCTTTGGTTCCTCTGGTTATGAGTAGAAGGAACAAAGAGCTGGTGTGTCAGTGGACAGCTGGTCAGAATCTGGGCACAGACGAACCTCGCTTGGAATTCTGTCCATGCCACTTAGTAGTTGTGTGACCTTGTGCAAACCGCTTAGCTTCTCTGTGCCTCCACTTCTATGCTTATTTTCATTTTTATTTGAGGGCTTATCTCAGTAGCATGCCCATTAATAGTACCTTAATTTTAAAAAGCTTTTAGTAGGCACTTGTGCGCAATACATCTTGGTAATTTATTCCCAATTAAAAACACACAACAGTGTTGGCATTTTCTGCATATCAGTATTGTACCTTTTTTTTTTTTTCATTAGTTCTATTTTATTTTGCTGTGTTTATTATTAAGTTATTTGTCAAAGTACTTCCCTGAAACTCTGCTATCAATCAGGAAAGAATGAAAACATTTGCTGGCTAAGTATTTTGTTACTAACTTGTGGCTCTACTGGTGCTTTGCTAAAGCATACAGATGCAGAGTCAGAATGAGTATGCTTAGTGTGGAACCCCATTCTTCTGATGGGTAGTGGGCAGTAAGGAACAGTGAGGGCAAGAGGCAACGTATATCTCCTGGGCTCAAAATTGCCTCCTCAGGCCCCATTCATCCCAGGAATTCTTTGAGGCTAAAGCAGAAGTCTTTGTTACAATGCAAATGCCCACAAGACCTATCAGTCAACCATCCAGGAAATTCCTTTTCCTACTATTCTAAGACCTGAGCAGAGAAAAGTGGTCCCTGCCCTAGAGGACCTCACATTATCTCACATATAGACACACATGCTCGCGCACACACACACACATTAAATAACACGTGTATGCTTCCGTCAGTGGGGACCTGATACTCAGAACGGACACATCACTGCCCCTAATCCTAAACTAAACATCCATTCTTGGGACCACCACCTCTCAGGCGCCAGGGAAAACTTCCACATTTATCTTTTGTCCTCAAAACGGAGGCTCCTGAGTCCCAGTGCTGTGAAGGTTTGTGGGCTGCTCCTGCCAACGTGTGAGCCAGACATTGTTCCAGAGGGCACAGGGGAATGAAGTGGTAGGCGCCTGTAGCAACAGAAAAGGCAGATTAATTAACTTGTCAATGCCTTCCTCTCAGACAGCATGAATTACACAGATTTTCGTGTAGTGCCGTGTTCTTCCTGCCAATGCTGAGCATCTTTTGCTTCCTTTTATTTGTGTTCCATTTGTAGTTTCTAAAGTCGTGATGAATTAGCATAACTACACAAAAAAGTGCACGTGGGCAGCTGAGAAACGTGCTGTAATATGAAACGAGTCCTCCTCACCTGGGAGGGGCGATACTAGGATCAGCGAGGTCTTTTTCCCAGGGGAGGCTCACCCATGGTATTCCTAGAATGCTAACCCCTGCCATTCCCACAAATGCGGGAAACTTGAATGCACAATTTGTGGTAGTGGGAGACTGAATTTGTGTTTCCCCTAAAAAAAATTCATATTGCTCAAATCTATTTGTAAATCTAGGGTAACATCAGTGAAATATGACACTGTTTATTTTTACTGGTATATTGATTGGCAGCTGAGTTAAAAGAACGAATGCTAGAATTGTAAATAGTTTTATTTTAAAAAATATATTTATTGAGTTAATTCTATTTTGGAAATGTCAAGTAAAAACTGTAGGTTTATTTTTAAAAATATATTTTTATTGATTCAAAGAGGAAGGGAGAGAGAAAAACACCAATGATGAGAGAGAATCATGATTGGCTGCCTCCTGTACAACCTCCACTGGGATGGAACCCACAATCCGGGCATGTACCCCAACCAGGAATAGAACCTTCACCTTCTGGTTCATAGGTTACTCAACCACTGAGCCACACCAGCTGGGCTGCAGGTTTACTTCAACAATTTTATCTATAACATTTTATTCATTATTAAGATTTTTTCATGCTTTAAAAATAAAATTTCTTCTATTGTAAAATATTCAATTCTTATCTTTAACATTTATTTTCATTTACTTTTTTGATTGAATTATATTCAAATTTGATATTCTGTGAATATAATGACAGGTTAATTTTAATCCTTTACATCCTATTGTTAATGGCACATAAATTATGTGTATATTTTGATTATAATGAAATAGTAAATTTTTTTCTGGAATGAAAGCAAAAAATAAGTTATACAGAATATATAAACCATAAAATATGCCTTTATGTTATCCTCATCCAAATATTTCTGGGCCATCAACAGCACACATATAATAATAATTAAGTTCAGTTGTCTTTGATGTTTTGCCAACTTTCAGTCATTTAAAACTATAGTTTTCCAATTTTCAAAATAATTTTGCTATTATGAAGCCATATTTGTCATTGTAGAAGAAGAAGACAAATTCAATGTAATAGCTTGACTTGTAAATTTTAAACATTTAGACCATTTGTACTCTAGCCTGGACCCCACATATTGTAGAGATGTGCCCAATTGCTTCAATTAGATAATCAGATAGTTCTTTTTCTAAAATTTAGCTATTAATAGTTAACTTACTGACACGAAGTATGTCAGACTTTAAATTAAGTAACTTCTACATGTAACCTCATTATATCCTCTCCATAACCCTGGGTCATAGGTAATTTTATTATCCCCATTTTACAGAGAGGAAACTGAGGTTTGGGAGTTTAAGTGCTTGCTCAAGGTCATATAACCATTGTGTCCCGGAGCTGGGACCTGCCCCCAGGAGATCTGTGTACCTTTAGGAAAGGGCACTCTGGCCTTGATTGGCATCCCTTACGGAGAACTTGCACACACACAAGGCAATCTGGAAGGTCAGATGTTGGGAGAAAGGGCTGCAGAAAAAGTCCCCAACTCCACAGTCAAGCTTGAGATCCAAGGTCACCTCCAGGGAACATCCACAAGCACCAAAGGCTACCAAATGTCACTAATTTCTACCGATTTCAACAAAGGGCACCTAAGAAAAATACCCATTTATCTTTTTTGCTCTTGAACGCTCAGTTATTTAACAGGAAGATTTAGAGGACTGATTCCTCCTCCCTTTTTTCCATCTCTCTTTTTCCTCCACTCCCTCCTTCCCCCCCCCCTTTTTTTTAATAAATATATATTATGCTATACAACACACTAAGCAAAATGCTAGGCACTGAACGAAGCAGACAGGGCCTTGTGCATATGGAAACTATTATCTAGTGGGGAGACAGACAGCAAATCAACATGAAATACTGAAATTTATGACGACGACACAAATAACATGGAGGCGAGGTAGAGCACTCTAGGAAAGCATACCAGGGGAATCTGGCCCAGTCTCAGGGTATTAGGGAAGACTTCCCTGAGAAAACAGCATCTGAACATTAATAGTGGTTAAGAATACAGGAGGACATGCTAGGAGGACATGCTCAGGAGGACATGCCAGGCTGAGCGCCTGTGAAGGGAGCCTGTAGGTTTGAGCAGGAAGGCTCTGATTGAAGGCCAGTGAGGCTGGATATGTGAATGGAGGGCGAGGTTCCAGACCTTCCAGAGGAGGAAGTGCTCAAATTATGGCCCACAGCCACCCTCACTTATTTACTTATGCCAATGGCTGCATTTGGCTGCAATGGTGCAGTTGAAGAGTTAAGACATAGACCTTATGGCCCACGGAGCCTAACATACTTACTCTCTGCCCTTTACAGGAAAAACCTGCAGACCTCTGATCCAAACCACGGAGGTAAAGGATCATGCTCTTTATCCTCACAGCGGGGGGAAGTCATCAAAATGTTTTAAAAGGTAAGGGGGTGGTAATAATAGGATCTGACGTTCATGAGGAACACTCAGGAGCCGGATATATACTTACATTACTTTGGAGAGCCAGGCCCTCCAAAGACCCCTTTGAGGAACCTGGCATTAATCTCCGCAGGAATGGGTTCTAAGTCCTTTCTTGCCCGTGGCAGGGCCCTATCAGTTTCTTCCTACCTAAGCCCCTTGTATTAGCCAGACTCCTTTGGGAGCAAGTGACAGAAGCAGAATCTAAGCCGACTGTACGGCAGGAAGGGAATGTACGGTTCATATCACTGAGAAAGGCAGTGGGGAGGCTCAGAGAAGGCAAGATCAACAACAGAAAACAGAGCCTACCCCTCTTGAGCCAGGGACTCACCATCTCAAGACGCATCTCTCCACTCACTTTTCCTCTTTATTTGACTCTGCTCGGCTTCCTACACAAACATTTTCCACTGGGCAACTCCAGAATCCCATTCTGCCAAGGTTAGCCCAGCAGAAGGAGAAAGCCTACTTCCAATGTCTGTGTATTCCCCTTGGGTTTGGATTCTGATGGGCCCTGCTTGAGTCTCATGACCACTCTCTCTAGAACAATCAGTGCCAAATGGGATTGGGTACTATAAACTGGCCAGACATGGATCACATGCCTATCCTTAAGGTCAGGGGGTAGGGTCTGGGAATGAAAACCCGGAGAGCACAACCTAGAAGGGGAGACCAAATATATATATATATATAAAAACAACGGGATAGGGTTGCTATATTGCCAGGCTGGTCCCCACAAGCTTTGAGGGAAAGCCACCTCTGCTCTCATGACAGAGCTGACTGAATCACTGATCAGTCCTGGAACAGCCTGCAACCCCTATGGGCTGGACACAGGGAGGCTGGTCAGCTAGCTCCAAAATGACTCGGCACAAATGTCCAGCAGGAGCCCTCCACTGAGTGGCCGAAAGCTAACGAATCAGACCTTCCTGTTTGGAAATAGCAATGCCAGGTCAGCAAAAGAGGAGGGCTGTTTGCACTCAGGTTGATATTGCCAACAATACTCAGAAATGTGTCCAGGTTTCCATGTGGCTCACCCTACGTCCCAGGGTATAAATAGAAATCCACACACTAAATCTCCTTGGCTGAAGGAAAGCCGGGCTTGTCTTTTCTTCTAAGGAATTCGCCTGTCTTGGTCAGTACAATCCGATGCTCTGGAAATTTCTTCCTCTGTCTTTTAAAGAATGGTTTGTCATGAAACTTCACATAGAAAGAAATGAACTAACTCTTCTGGCAAAGAATATTACGGTCAACATAAAGATTCCCTCAGTGGAAAGGAATTTAAACACGTTGCTAGGTGGCCAGGGGAGATCTAACCACAAGGCATTCTGGGAAGAAAGCTGAATTGAAAGCTAAGTATAATGGCAATAATAACCCACTGGTAGCTGGGCAAGAGTCCTTGGTTCAAGCCCTTGTTGGGGATCATTGGCAAATCACCGTTCCTCCTCTCTTTCTTCTGGAAAATGAAGTTTCAAAATCATGCATTTGTTCTACAGAGCTGTGTGGCTGCTGCAAGAGGCCAGTGTGGCTCAAGAGTAAATAAGGCAGAAGGTGGCAGGTGAGGCCCCAGAGGTAACAGGGGCCAGGTCATTTGGCTTTCACCTTGCTTGAGAGGGGGAACTAGATTCATTTCTTCTGGCTGCTATAACCACTCACCACAGGTTGAGTCTTAAACAACACAGATTTAATTCTTACAGTTCTGGAGGTCAAAAGCCCAACCTCCAGCAGCTCTCACTGGGCTGAAATCGAGGCGTTGGCAGGGCTGCGTTCCTCTCTGGGGGAGCCATTTCTTTGCTGCCTCCAGCCTCTGGCTGCCCACATCCCTTGCTGCTAGCCCCGTCCATCCTCAACGCCAGCAGCGCTGGGTTGAGTCTTCCTTCCATCATGCCCTTCTGATCTTCCCTTCTGCCTCCCTCTTCCACTTTTAAGGACTCTTGAAATTACATTGGGCACAACTGGGTAATCCAGAGTAATTGCCCTATTTTAAGGTCAGCTGATTAACAACCTTTAATTAGCAACTGTCTGCAACATTAATTCCCCTCTGTCAAGGGGAATTCTCATGGGGATTAGGATGTGAACATCGTTGGGGTTGAGAGGGCATTATTTCGCCCATCACAGGAGCCACTGGTGTTTCTGAGCAGATGAATGACATAGTCAAACTTGTGCTTTAACTTGTCACTTTGGCTTCTGTGTTTGAACAGACATTGGGGTGATAGGGACAGAAGCGGAGAGGACAGTTAAGAGACTACTCCAGGGACCCAGGCCCAAGATGCTGCTTGAACCAGGATTGTAAATGTGGGTAAAAAGCAGTGAAATTCCAAATGTACTTTGAAGGTATAGGAAATAGGCCTCTGTGATCCATCTCCAGCAGAGTCAAATTTTAATGGAAACAGTTACTGAATTTCCCCAGGTCAAACAGAACGTAGGAGAGAAGAGGATATATAAAGAACTGTGGACATGAGCCAGTATCATGGCAGAAACACCCAATGTGACAGGGGGAGGTGGAGACAACTAGAAAAGGCCTCAGCCCATTTAAAAAAAAATATTTTATTGATATTTTACAGAGAGGAAGAGAGAGGGATAGAGAGTTAGAAACATCGATGAGAGAGAATCATCGATCAGCTACCTCTTGCACAACCCCCACTGGGGATGTGCCCGCAACCAAGGTACATGCCCTTGACCGGAATCGAACCC